GATTGGCACAGTTGGCTAGCAAACATGGCTTATTAATACTACATGGTACAGCTTCAGGAGACAGAGAAGGAGAGCTTACTTTCTGGAAATGAAGAAGTACTAATACAATCAATTACATGTTAACTGCTCAAGAACTGCTATGCAGATTTCAGTATCACCTCTAGGCCTGATAATGGCCACTTTCCTTTAATAGCATTTTATCTTCCCCTTGGAGATTGGCAAGCCATCATGAAGTGCCCAAGAAGATGCAACACAGGAGAAACTCCCCCATATCAAATAGTCTAATGAATCAGCAAATACATGCTCCCAATTTTTAACCACACCCAAAGCTTTGCAACAAAAAAGCTGTATGAACAATACAAGGGAGATATTTATCAAAATATCATCAGTTCATTCTAAAACTGTTTAAAATTTACTCCTGGGCTCTCTCCATATTTCCACATTATATCTTCCAAATCTTGGTTTGACAAGGAATATATTCCAGGCCAAACTTTTAGTTACCAGTATACAAAGCTGTTAAAGTCCTGCTAATCCCAGGAAACATTCTTCTTTATGAAAAAAGAAGTATAAGGCCCTTGTGAAAAAGATGATGTAGAGCCAACTGCTGAATAAGACAGTCCAAGCCAAAAAAAAAAAAGACTCTTTGTTCTGGTGCCTTTTTTCTCTGCTTCTTTAGTGATTCAGCTTGGAGAGAATCACTTAATACAATCTAAAATTTGGGATATACATTTTTGTACTTTATTTTACAGGGACCTGAGCCTACATTCCTTTCTTCTCAGTTCTGGCCTCTAGTTCTGGAATAAAAAATACTGTCCTTACTTCATCAGTAAGGATATAACAAAACTCCAGGGGAGATCTGATTCACCAGAGTTCTCAAAAACAAATCTTGACTGGTAGACCTCTTACCTACCCACATCAATATCTCTCTTCACATTCATAAATATTGAAGTAATTGAAATATTACTTTCAATATATAAAAAAAACAACCACAAGATCATCCTAGCTAACTATCATCAAATCAGCTTGCTCAGTATAAATTATATGCAAAACATCTCTTCCAAAAGCTTGCTTATTGGATGATCAAGAAAATAATCCTAACCAGGGAACTAGTCATCATCTAACCAGACTTTTCAATACTACTGCATGATTCTATGTCAACTTTATAGATTTGAAGGCAACTTTTCAACTTTAATTCCTTGAGAGAGGTTATGATGAAAACTGCCAACTTTTTCTATATATCACCACCTTCTTCACTTAAATGTTACTTGAAAGCACCACAGTACTCACATACCCACTTCCAAAGGAGTTAAGCCATCCCTTTCTAAAAATTTTATATCAATGATATTGTAAGGACACTTGCTAAACTGAATTCCACCCTCCATTCTTGCCCATAGTCTCATCTCCATGTTATTATATACTGACAATGATGGAATTTTCTCTCTTTCACAAGTGGGGTTGACAGAGTCTGCACACTGCATTGTTCTGGCAGACTGAAATAAAAACCAAGGCTATGATCTTCACAAGGATCTAAGCTTGCTTACACGTGAAAAATTAATAATACCTCAGTCTAGCAGACAAAGGCCTACACATCTCTTGGTATTCATTTCTACTATACCATCTCTTTGAAACTACAGCCCCAAATCAGGAAATTACAGGAAAAGCTATGTAAATTAAAGGGAAATGAACTATGTGCCTGCTGCAATTAAATTACTTAAAGCCAAAGTCTTAAGCTTTTTCATGTACTGTGCACAGTGTTATGTGTACAAGGACACCCCTGCACTAGATTCAGCACCATCTAGATTCTTGAGATCTACATTCTGGTCCCAGGCTCAGCCCCCTGTACTCTTCTTCAACTACAGGTAGAGTGTGTTTTTGTTGAGGCCCACCTAAGGTTATACCAGTTAAAATATGAACTCAAATAAATTTTGGGAGTCTCTGTACCCCTAGAAGGTTGCACATTTTTATGAAATAACCAAAATTCTCCATGAAACAACCAAATTTAATCTGACCTGGCTTATTGTGGACTTATTTTCCAAACTCTATGTATGTTGAGTCTAAAAAGAGCTTGAAGCAAAGTCAAACAGTAAATGGATAGAACTACATCTCACACCGCTTCCATCTTGATCTCGCCCCCCCTTTCAGTACCCCTAAATATATGTTCTAAATTTCTGTACTGTCATACCAAAGGGCAAAGTTGGATACCCTCTGTCACACTGGCAAACCTAGACACTCTTTCCTCAATGGGGTTAACATTTCCTTTCAAGTTCACCTGTGTATCCATGCTGGTACTGAAACTGCTACCGATCTACTTCAGGTTTGCCCAGTCTATTAACCAAGGAAGGTAGAACTCTTGACCCCATTAACTGCAAAATATTCAAACTGGCACCAACTGAGAAAAGTGCACTTTTTACTACATACTGAAGTTTCCAGGAAAGTGACTAAGTTTTGCAATACAATCAAAGCCACTGGATTGAATTGGAATTTACCTACTGTAAAAATTGAAATTTATAGTCTTCCTCAATTAATGTACTTAGCCGCTATCCTCCCCCCACCCATTCAACTTTAATGTGTATTAATGTGTATTTTTATTTTGTACCATATTACTACCTGGACATTTTGTCCCTGTATGTTATTTTAAGCTGTTGGCCTTTGGCTGAAATAAAGCATATATATCTATCCCTTCACATAGAAGCCATTTGGACCATTGCTCTGTGAAAGGGATCAGCAGACCAACTATTCTGTGACTCCCTGAACAGTCATAATAGCAGTCCAAACTGGCTGTTATACAGCTCCATAAATCATTAAGAATTGTTGCCCAAGTTATTTTATTTTCCTTTTGTCTTCCAAACCTGTTTTCCTATTGTGTCTATAAAGGGTGTCAAGTTTTTATTATGTGATAAGCTGCTCTGGGACCTTCCAAGAAGAACTGAGGGTATAAATGCTTTAACTAATGCCTTTCAGAACAATGAGATATGAGAATTAATAATGACAGAGCAGTGGAGTATTAACTATTGAAATCAATGGTGACAATAAAGAGAATTTAACTCCCTCCATATTTTGTTGGTTAAAAAAACACTCTTTTCTACTCAAGTTTCTGTTCGCCCCATTAGAAACAATGTAGCACTGATTGTGTACCATACTGTCCTTTACTCAGGAAGCATATCTTTGCCTAGTAGAATCTTACACAGTTGTATTATGGAAGAGTCGTCTTTAGTATTCAGAACTATCCAATAAGATTTACTTACTATTATGGAGGTATAACAACCCCATGAGGTCTACAACAACTGTATTTCAAAAACAACTAGATCAGGCTGTGCAGTTGCTTGGAATAAGAGGATCAAATAATAAATTATGGGTTATATTGTGAATATTCCAATGTTCCCCTTCCTCCTTCTAGCAGATGTGATGGAACATTCTTTGTCATTTCTATTTTCCAGAAACCTTTCCTATGAAACCCCTATGGCAAAGTTAAGAAATCCAATAAATGAGGCTCATATTATAGAAAACATACCATTTTGTGTTTATGCAGTCTCAAAGGATTGCAAAATATAGGATTTGTTATGTACAAAGAACAAGAAGTACAGTTAAGTGGAACAGTGGCAACTAAAGAGATAGTCTGCAAACATTAGAAATCTGAATAAAGAGACAAAGAAAATATCCTGAATGTATTGATAATAAAAATAAACAAATGTAATATGAAATTGGTGATATAATTAGCCTTGTCAACTCTTCAAATATAAAATAGTAAAACCTTGAGTGGACTCAAATACAATATTCATATAAAGTGTAAAACTATTTCATACACTTATTGAAATTGGCCTTGGAACTTTCTCTGCAAGCAATTCTATTGCACCAAATAGGATTCTTGATCTACCTTGTTTGCTAAAGAAATACAAAACTAAGTGATTTTGGTTTTCTGACCCTTCTATTCTGAAAATGTACTGCCTTAATTGCTTCTGAGGCTGTGTAATCCATATGCTTAAGCTTTATTTTTCCGGTTTAACAACTGAGGCAACTCAGAAAACTTCCCTTGTTTGGCACCTATTCTTGGATGGACACGTTAGACATTTAGTTAAGATCCTGCTTACTGTATCAATATCTGAAAGGGATGATAGGGAAAAAAGTCCTCACCTATGATAAGTAAATTTCTCTTTATAATGTAGTTGTTCACTCATATTTTTTCTTACATCATGATCATGACTCCATATTTTACTTTTGGCTTTCCTACACTGCAACCTTCAATGATTTGTCTCCCCTGTTTAAACCAGCTAGAAATAAAGCTGGTTTGAGAAATAGCATTATGCATTTCAAAGCCTTCCTTAGCTTTGACCAAAACAATGCCTTGATGTTCTGTCCAGACTGTGTTTACCCACACCCGTGACTAGTAGTTTCCCCTGCATGCCTATTCCTCTTGAACTTGGACGTAAGAAAGGATCACAGTTTTACCTCTTTTCCTGTCACTTGCGCTGTAAGGGTCCATCCTTGCATTATTCCATCAATTAACATATAAAAAAAAATCTGCTGTTTCACTTGCACTATTCCATCAATGAACTTGTTAGAAAAAAGTTTTTCACTGTTTCACTGGTGAACTTGTAAAAAAGATATGACAGTGGAGAGCAGTGTCCAGTGGCTGGAGGGAAGGGAAGGAATAATTCCATCTGCCGATTTCCCAGTTAACTTGTTAATAGAATTATTAACTCAAGCTTTCAATATCTTCTATGTGTTTCAAAGATTGTTTCTATTCCAGTCCACTCAAATCATGTATTCTTGGTGCTTGTGCAAACTTTTTTGGTCATGCAAATAATTATACTTCTATACATTTCATAGAAGGGATCTCACAGAAGAACTCCAAGAGATCCATTTCAAGCAAGAGTTTGGTAATACCATTTATATTTTAATTATCTTTGCAGAGAGTTGGTGTGAGGTCATAGTGTCTCCTCCCACAGTGTAAACTAAACTGTCAAACTTCAGCTGTCTCTGTGACAGAGAGAACAGTTCACTTCATTCCAGCTGCATTACCTTGTATAACACCGTTCAGCATCTTTAACAGTGGAATTTTTGTTTTGGAAGTATGATATCAAGATTGGTCTTTCTTCTTCTCTGTGGACATTTTGCACAAATCCTTGGAAATGCTGGGAAATTGCCAGGAGGCAAGTAGATATGGTTTTCATATTTTGTGGGAAAGGAAATGCTTAGCCTTAATAATACAATCTAGTTTTCAGGAAATATGAAAGGATTAAGAATGCAGTGAAGGAGAAATGAAATAGTAAAAATTGCAGAAACACATATGAGAGAGACAGAGACAGATGGAGAAATTTAAAATTCTTTGTATAAACAAAGCAAGGATAAAACATACTTTTTTATTAAACAAGGAACACTGCAACCAGACGAAAACTAGTCTTCTTGTTTATTTTTTAAACATTTACTTCTTATGGTAGTGTGTAATGTGATCTCTGATATATGTGGGTAAACAGGATTCAGTTCTTTCAACTACACTGTAAACACTTTAAAATTGATTTGATTTATAGGAACAATACTGTTTTTCTTCAAATTACTTGTCTTTTTTTCTATTAAAATGTATGCTTGCATGATTATAAGATGCAAAGAGTTTAGGAGCACTGCACTGGACCCTCTTTTCTATAATGTGAAAGAAACTACGCAACATTATTTCTCTTCAATAAACCCTTCAATATATGTTACTCTGACATTTTAAACTCCTTTCTGAAAAAAATCTGTACTATTACCTTAATATCATATGTATAAACCTAGATTAAGAAGTGCCTAATACATTGGTATTTTATAACTCTTGGGTATTTCATGTTCAGTTACTGATCTTGCTGAAATGTTTTTTAAATGCAGCATGTGCTTTGCAGATGTACCCAATGTGGGGAGAAATCTCTAAGTAGCATTTTTTATATATTCATCTGGTAGAGGAATGCTAAATTATAAAACAACTTCCTAGAATATACATGACATAGTTCATGTCAAGAAAAAAATGACCTTTTACCCATAAAATAAAGAATGCACTTTGTTCTTATTTGTAATTTGAAAAGTTTATGTCCTTCCTCCACAAACTGTACTTGTCGTCTTTGTCAAACAGATATATCGTAGTGTATTTATCAAATGGATATATAGTAATGTACTTACATTCTGAGCTAAATAGTATAGTATTTTTCATTGGAACATGTAGATACTTTTATATGTCTTCCTCATCCACTTACATGGGATAAAAGGCATAACTATCTTTCAGTGCAGAATCCTGGCAAAATGCTCTATACTTTATTTTCAGTCACTAGGAATATCCCCCAACAGAGCAAGGCAGATGCTTTCTCAAATTAAGTGGCAGCTGAAAATACTAATTATTATTTTTTCATTTGTTTTCCAATTATTTTGAAAGGAATAAACAACAACATATTCCAATTTTCCAATATGTACAACTGTAGTATGAGGCTATTTCTAATGCACTGTACCTACTGGCTATCTGAAGATATTCCAAAGGTTTATCTATTTTATTAAAACATTTTTAGGTATTGGAAATGCATTCAGGTAAGAATATTTGTTTCTTTGAACTCCTGTCTTATTAAATTTTAAAAAGTAGACAATGCACTAAAGTTATTTTCTACAGCACTGTACTTCTGTTCACAATATTCACAAAATAGTACAAGGATTCCAGCTGAAGGCAGTACTTTAAAGTCAGTTCATAATGTTAAGAGCTGCCAAAGTTATTTTTGGGCAGACTTAACCATTTCAGTGAAGTTTATTCCTGGTGTTAGGTTATGAAAGTAGATTTCCTTTCCCTGGTATAAGAAAAAAGAAAAGAAAAGAAAAGAGCAAGGGTGGGGAAGGGAAGGGGAGGGGAAGGGAGGGAGAAAATCCTGTTCTTGTACCAAGGAAAAGAAATCCAGTAACAGAAGACCAATAATATGTTTGGATGCCAATTACTTGGGTTTAGTATAAAAGCTGTTCATACAAACATGCTATTCTTGAACTATCAACATGAAGATTTTGCTTCTTGAGGTGCTGCCATTTTCACATTTCACATTTCATTCAACTGAAATGTCTGTTTTAAAACATTGGTAGGGAAATACTATTTTCCGTAGAAGTTACCTAAAATTGATTTGATACTTATAGAACCAGTAGAAAGAGACTGAATGATTGCATCAAATCACATCTGAAGAACAAACGTGACTAGCAAAGAAAGGGTGCAAAAGCTAAACCAATCTTCCTGTATGTGCTTAATGCCACAGGTAGGATTTTTGACATCTATACTGGATAGTTTGCATGTAAATACAGTTTCTTATCCCCTTACTTTAAAGATAAGGACATTAATCTGATTACATAAACACCTTACCATTTCTGCTTTTGAAATTTCATGGTTTCCCAGTAGCAAGACATTTTCCAGATCACGGTCTGTAATTAAATAGACACGTTTCAAATACTAATTTGAATATACCAAAAGTAAAAACAGAGCTAAATGTAGCATGATTGTCTGGGTGATTTGATCAAACTAAATCTACTCCATTTAACTACTGTATATGTCCTTTAGAATTTTAAATCAAATTCAAAAGTGGCTTGCCTTCACTTTCTAAAATGTACAAGAGATGTGCGACATGTTTCTTTAACTTTTTAAAAACTTGGCATGATTACAAAGGACAACAGGTTCTTTTAAGGCCATAGGCTTCTTTCCAAGCACTCTTTGAAATACCTGTGCAACTACACAAAGTTGATTGGTCATGTGGACATTCCAAGAAGAGTTGGGAAATAGATCTCTATACTTCAATGAGCCTGGTGCTGCTGTAACCACCTAGCCTCAATCTCTTCAAATAGTTTAGAAAGTAATTGCAGTACAAGTAATCTTATTTCAGATAAACATTGGCAGAAAAGTAATGGAAGAAACATCCTGCAATAGCTGCAAGTACTTAAAAATTAATCTGCCTGTTATGTGAAATGGGGTATATACATAGAAGTGTCTACATAGCTACAAACAAGGTATAACAAAGCTGTCAGTAATATTTATTTTAATTTCCATTTCACATGAAATATTAATGGCTAAGCACAAGTAAATGTGGCTAGATAATGTACATATCTGTAAGACATTTGAAATGGGAACAGAGCTGCATTGTCTAATGTTTGTGGTATGCATTCACTATTCCATTTTGTAGTTGTTGGCATTTTTAAGTGTTTCTCTGAAGAGTTTAGCAAAACTGCAATTCAGTCCACATCAATTCAGAAGTTTTATTGACTCTAATGTCCCTAGGGAGTAAGTCCCCAAGAATACCAAAAAACAGCATACATTCATAGGATTGGACTGTTCATATTCTATTAAATACAATGCAATAGTATATGGAATTGGACTATTTAAAGGAAATGATGTATTAAACATTATGTATTAATTATCTTATTTTATTAAATACTCAAAATGACTTACAATTAAGCTTAAATAAGAATACATGTATTTTTTAAAAAATGCAATTTATAAAATTGCAGTTTGTGAGAGAAATTATATATCAACAGCAGCATAGTGAATAAACAAAAATAATTTCACTAGTTAGCAGAAAGTAACTAAAGTAACTTAATTATGCATTTAATTAAATGAAATAGCCATACTGGTATACCTGACCAATGAATCCATATTGTGATCAAATCTAGGAAAGAAAAAGTATTGCTACTGAATACTTTCTTTTTCTTCGGTGAATAAATAGACACAAATCAGGATTTCAGGCTTTTAAATAACATCGGGGATCAACTCATATATACCAGTTTCCAACTGTTTAAGTCGTCAGCCATACATTTCCTTGTACCTGTGTCAAGAGGTGTCTTCAACAAATACTAGCCATTTGTTGGAGACGTGTCCTTAAAACAGGCCTTCATCTTGGTGCTAGCCTGCTGCAGAGGCTGGATCAAAGCAATCAGGCAAAAAAATGGTGTTTTCCATCATAAAATTCAACAGAATCTCCACTGAAAATATCTGAATTAACATGGAGAAGCCTGAGGGAAGTTGGTGACTTCCAGGGTTCTAATTGTCCCATTGCCAGAAGGGCCCTCGATGAGAACAGAACCAAACTTTTATTTTTTTAAGACTCACGCAGGAATAGAAGTCTATTTCTTCTAGTAACTTCCACTGTTACCTCCCTCAAGACAACCTCTGTTTTTTCCCCAACTTTTTAAGCAATATCTTTTTTTTCCCTCATTTCCAAGAAGGGTGGAGCTTTGCTAGAAAAAAAAACAGCATGATTTTCCAGTAACCATCATCACTTGCCAGACAGGGATCCTCTGCCCTTCCTTTGCCCTTCCTTTTCCTGCATCTGACGTTACCTCTGGGCTTCCCCCACAGCAGCCTCCAAAGCTACAGACCCCACCCTCCTGTGAAGGCAGCAATTTTGTTGGTCTAGTTTTGGAGTCACAGCAAAAAAGAAAAGTGTGGGGCAATAGTTTTCTAGGGCCAGTGTATCATTGGGGGTATGGAGAACAGCCTTTAGACCATTCACCTTTAACATGTGGAAGTGTATCTTAGCAAGTAGATCTTACAGTTGGCAAACTGAAACAGTTACTATAGTAACAAATAGTGGACAACAGTGAAGAGGGCAGTGGATGCATTTGGCCAGTTGTTCCTCTGTTGGAGAGCAGGGGTGTCTGTGGTGAAAAACGCTAGACCATCAGTACTGAAGTAAAATTCAAGTGTGGCTTCAGTCAGGTTCTGTAGATTGAGTGAAAGGAAAGTACCATCCTGTTCTTCATCTTAGGAAAGAAATCATCATGGGGTATAGCCTGTACCACAAAAGCTTAACTGAGTGAAGCCAGCAAGTCTTCATGAATTTCTATTTATGTGCAGGGTGAACATCCACAAGGACTTTTGCAGTCTTTCAATTATGTTGCTCTTACAATGTGATGTTATGGATATTTATGCAAAAATAATTGCCACATGTTCAGTTATGTTTATTCTCTAAATAGAATGAGGATTGCAGTATCCAGTTGTTCTAAAATACACAGTATTAACACTTGATAGTAAGCCTACTTGGTGTGTGTCTTCCTTAAGTAGTTTGTGTGATTGCCAATAAACAACTTACACTTTCTATTCTCTTAAGCATTCATTTGACAGGACATGAAGTTAGTGTCACAGTAACCTGCAGCAACCTGTGAGAGATTTTAT